CGGGCCCGGCCCCAGGACCGAGCCCTCCCGCCGTGCCCCGCTGCTTATTTCCTGGAATTCCCTCCCTGCATCGGGGACAAACACTAGTCCCTTCGGGGCCGCGGCCCCGCCAAAAACTCTGGCCCCTGGACTCCGGGTTGCAGCCACTTGCGGGCTCAGGCTCCAGCCGCCCGGCAGGGCTCTGCCTGGCCCGAGTGTGCCAGGCCCGAGCTGGAAGCCAGGAGCACGTGAGCAACACGAACCTTGCGGGGCTTGCACTCTACTGCGCGAGAAGCAGGCTCATCACACAATCACACAACATAAGTGTGTAATTAGGGAGCTTTAATGGAGACCAGCTGTGGCCAGCAGGTCCGGGAGGGCTTCTCTGCGGACCTGAAGAAGTTGACGGGGTGTAGGGGTTGGGGGCTGGTGTGGGTAGTGTGGAAGAGGACAGTCCAGGTGGAGAGGCCATCCTGTGTGAGAGACCTCGGGGAGCTGGGGAATGAGAGGAAGCGGGGGTGCGGGACTGGGGGGAGCGGGACACAGCCCATCCCCTCCCAGGTATTTCCCCCTGAGAAACCTGCCAGCATGCAGCAGAGAAGGTGTAGGCAATGTTCACACCTGCACTGTTCGTAATAGTAAAAACATGGGAAACACCGCAGAAGCTCATCTGCAGACGAGTGGGCAAATAAACTGTGAAATATTCACACCGTGGAATATTATACAGCAGTGAAATTGAATGAACTTCAGATGCAGACACAGCAACGCAGATCTATCTCAGAAATAACGCTGAGTGAAAAAAATAAGTCGCAGAAAAACTATATTCACTGTGGTGTAACTTTTAGAATGTATAATAAAAGCAAACCCCCCAATATGCATATTTAGACACATGCATTGGAAGAAAAAAAATTTTTTAAGGAAAAGATAAACACAAATTTGAAAAGAATGGTTATCTCAGGTGAATAGGTCAGGAGAGGGGAGGAGCCTACAGGTACATTCAGGTTATTGGTAATGTTCCAGTGCTTGGGTAGGATGGTGGTTTATTTCATTATACTGTGAATGAATGAACGAATAAATGAATGAATGAAAAAGAGGGTGGGAGAATGGAGGGCAAAGGGCTGGAAAGCCAGATGAAAACTAGATCACACAGGGCCTGCGGGACATGGTGAGGTCTTTCCCCTGAGAGTGCTGGAAAATCAGCAGAGGCTTTTAAGTGGACACAAGAGAGGATCAAACTTTATTTGGAAAAAATATCCTCCAGCTACTCAAAGTGTGGTCTAGGGATCATCATCACCTTCCATGTCACCTGGGAGCTGATTAGAACTGCAGACTCTCAGACCTACTCAACTGGAATCTGTGTTTTAAAGAGATACCCACATGGCTCGTGCGCATGTTGCAGGTTAAGGCTGGGCTTGCTGCTGGGAGGGGAGGGCATTGCAGAGGGACCAGCGCAAGTCTGGGAGACCAGGAAGGAGGCAATAGCAGAACTCCAGGTAGAGATGCTGGTGACGGCAGGGGAGATGGAGAAATTGTATTCAAGCTACATTTAAGGGGTAAAATCAACTTGGGTTGGGTTGTATGTTGGAGTGAGGCAGAGTGCTGGTCAAAAATGATTCTTCCGATACATTGTGGAAACCAGAGGAGTTTTTCGTAAGACCCTTTCCTGGCTCTCTGTGTTACTCAGGATAAATCACCATGGCTGCATTTATTAAGACATACTTGGAGCAGGTATTCTGAGAAGCTCGCTATAAGCACCATCTCATTTAATCTTTACAACAGTTCCATGAAGTAGGAACTGATCTCATTTTACAGATGAAAACACCGAGCCTCAGCAAGAAACAGCCTGACTGGCACACGTGTTGTAAGTAGGAGACCTGGGATTTGAATTTGAAGGTGACGCCAGAGCTTTCGCTCTCCACATTTTTCCTATCGCCACAGCCCCTGCCATGACATTCAAGTCCCTCTCCAATGTCGGTCCCATCCCTTCCTAGCACATTCCTCGACCTGGATGACTTTTTGGTCGATTAAAGGTGACACAAGTCCTTTGCTCTTTCTCCCATTGTGAGATGGAGTCTAATTTTCCTCCTTTTGTACCTGGGCTGGACCGAGTGACTTGTTTGCCTGATAGAACAAGTGACGTTCATGGACTTTGAGTCTAGGTCATAAGAAGCCTTGCAGCTTCCACTGGGGCCTCTCAAACGTTCTCTCCGGGAACCCCAAGTCGCAATGTAGGAAGTCCAACTACCCTAGGACCGTCGCACGAAACAATCCACATGTAGTCACTGCAGTTGACAATTCATCTGAGCATACCTTCCGCCACCACCATCAAGGGACCAAACACTAGTGAAGCCATGTTGGACCCTCCAGACTGGAACAGTTGCCAACTGAATATGTGACTTCAGTCATGCCATGTGGAACAAAAGAACTAACCCAGCTGACCCAGCCCGCACTCCAGACCTGCAGAAGTGTGACATATAATAAAATGTTATTTGAAGCCACTAAGTCTTGGGGTAGGTTGTTACGCAGCAGTAGATAATAGGGGTGCTGGCTCCTACCCACCTCAGCCCCTCTAGGATCTGATGCTCCTGACTCCATCCTGACACCTGGAGAAGCCTTTTCCCAGATCCCAGATCCTGGACTATCAAAATTCTGCTTTCCAAGCAGGTCAAACACAAAAGAAAATAATCTGTCTGTATAATGCAAATCCTTTGTTTACTTGTGCTCCGCTCAGGTGCCCTTTACCCTTCTGCATGCTGCTCTGTGCCAGACAGGCAGCCTGACCGCTGTGGAAATACCTGTCAGCTCCCTTGACCTCTGGCTTCTGGTTGGGTTTGGTGGATGGATGGGGGGGGGACATCAGCTGGAGGACAGAAGGTGGGAGGAGGGGGACCCTTTCTGCCCCCTTGCACAGTCACTGGGTTAACTATCTCTCAGCCAAGGCCCTGGCTCCTGGCAGGTGGTCCTCTCCATCCCTTTCTTGAAAGGCAATGATTCCTTTGTTACTAGCCTCAGGCTACTGCAACACTCTTTACTGGTTCCCCAGAAGCAGAGTTTGCGACGAAGATTTATGTGCAGGTAGTTGATTTGGGGAGAGAAGGGGAGTGTAGAAGTAAGACAGGAAGTGAGAGAAGCCAATATGAGCAGGTTACCAGACCCGGCACCTGGAGCTCAAGCCTTTGAGGGGGAGACGATGTAGAATACATCTGAGTTAACCCAACTGAGGAGCGAGGAAGGTTTATCCGCCATCACCCTCTCACATTGTTTGAGAGCTGCTTCCGGGATATGAACTTACTTCTTGGTACCCTTAGCTTCCTCAACACACTGGATTAGCTTGCTCCCATGGCTAGAAAACACCCTCAGGAGGGAGAGGGGGAAGAAGAGGGGGAAGGAGAGAAGGAGAAAGGGAGAGGGGAGAGAGAGAGAGAGAGGTGGACAGACAGACTCAGCTGTCATGCAGAGGTGATGCTGAGCGTGGGTGGGCACTGACAGCTATACCCACCCACACTTTTGTGAATAATTTTTTATTTTCGGCTTTATTGAGATACAACTGATAAATAAGATGGTAAGATACTTAAAGTGTTCAGTGTGATGATTTTATATATGTATATATACACTGTGAAAGGATTCTCCCCATCGAGTTAATTAACACACCCATCACATATTTACCTCTTTTTTTGGTGGGAGTGAGAACATTTAAGTTCTACTCTCCTAGCAAATTTCAGTTATACAATAGTGTTATCAACCATAGTCATCAGGTTATACATGAGATCCTCAGACCTTATTCATCTTAAAACTAAAAGTAAATAATTCCTCTCCTCAATTAACTCCGTTTGAGTTTGTCACCTGGTTCCTGCCAGGATCCTGGGTGGAACAGGCTGGTCTTGAACTTCTCCATGTCAATACACAGTAGGCCAATGTCTACAGAGTTGGAAGAAGGATGGAGAAGGCTGCCTTTCCAAAAATGTATTATCTACATAGCATGTCACTCCTATGTGAAGACAAGACAGCTATAGTCTCAAACATGCAGGAATTCTAACTCTCATATATCCTTCCTGAAAAATCTAGTTCAAGATCTAATTCCAGCCAACAAAAAGAAGCAAATGCAAACAGAATTAATGAATAAGAATGTCCTAATCTGAAACAATTCGTACCGTCAGGAATATTATCTCCAGTTAAGACTGCAGTTGTGACAATAGCATTGGTAACTTAGTGCTACAGCACCAGAAATTGTTAAAGTCGTGAAGGAAGAACGTTATGTAATGAACAGAATCAGACTTTCAAGGCAGATGTATCAGTCAGGGTAATCCTAGCTACTGTAACTCATAGAATGTTACAATTCCTGGCAAATATGCCAGAAATAAGAGTTCTTGCTCATATAACAATTCTGGGTGAGTGGCCACTCTCTGCTCAGTCCTTCTGGGTCTGAGTCTACATGTGGGTCTCAAGGTTGCCCTGGGGGTCATCTTTATTCCAGCCATTCAGAAGGGAGAAAGGGTATCGAGGAATATTTGGAGTTCTGAGGGGCCGGGCTCACATTCAGGCATCACGGCTGGGTCATGTGGCCACACAGAACTGCAGGGGAGACTGGGAAAGATGCCCAATAGCATGGCTGAAAGGAGCGTGGGGATGTGGGTGAGCTTCTAGCATCTCTGCTGGAGTGGGAACGCATCTTCCTCGAGGAAGCCTTTACTCCCCTTCCCAGAAAATTTGTCATCATCGTCTGTG